GCTGGGGGAGCGATTGTCCCAGAGCTGTGGGGAGCCCAGGGGTTGGGGACGGGGCGGGGTGCAGAGGCGGTTCAGACCAGGCAGGCCAATGGCCGACAGGAGTGGGGATGGGGACAGAGGGACCCGGCTTCTGGGACACGGTGGGCAAAGGCCAGGGAGGGACCCTGCCGCCTACAAGGCTCTCCTGAGACGGTCTCCTCCACTGGCCATGGGGCTGGGCAAGGCGTTCAGGAGGTTGCAAGTGTCGTTGGGAGAGAAGGGACTGGCCCCTTCCTGGGGCTGGAGCCAGAGTCTGGGGGGCGCCTCGAGGTGCTCCCTTCCGTAAGAACCATGAAGCTCTCCCCGAAGCGGGGAGGGGGGAACCAAGAGCGGCCAGCACGGGACCTACACAGGGGCCAGGGGCAGGTGGTGCCGGCCTGGGAGAGGAGCGGGGAGGGGGCTGGGCCGCTCGGTGGGCTCAGCCTGGGGAGTCTCGGCAGCGGGTGGGGGGCGGGGTGCGGGGTGCCGTCAGCCCGTCAGGTTTCTGCAGGGGAAGAGCCCAGCTCCGAGATCCTTATCTGCAGTAGGAACAGAACTGGTTTCTCGACTGGCAGCGCCCAGGGACCAGGGGCAGGAAGAGCCAAGAGGTCAGGAGGGCAGTGGCAGGAGGGGTGGGCGACCTGGCCAGGGGACCGATCTCCTTTGGACAACAGTCTTCACCGCCTCTGCTGGGGCCTCCCCGGGCTCTGCCTTTGCGTCCACTTTGCGCATGATCGATTCACTTTCTATACAGACCGAGGGCCCCCCTGGCCCCCCCCACCCCAGGCCCTCTACTCTGCCCCCCATCTTTCTCAGGTGTGGCCGGCCCAGCCAGGAGAAACACCGGGCTGGACTCTGCTCCTCCCCGCCCGCCTCAGCCTCGCCCCACCCCCACTAACACTGGGAGGCTCCTGAGGTCACCACGGGGAGGAGGAAGGAGCCAGCGGAGGGGGTGACTCCGGAGGACCCCTCAGAGCTCCCCCTTCATCTGCCGCCGCGAAGGGCCTGCTGGCCCCAGTCCCATCTATCTTGTGCTCATGGAGGCCCCTTTGTTGGAGCCTGGGGTCAGAGGGCCTGACCAGCGCGCCCCCTCTCCTGACCCTCGCTCCGGGCCCTCCCTCCTCACTCCTGTCTGCACCTCCTCCCCTCCCCGCCCCCCTGCTTCCTCCAGGCCCCCTCCCCCATCCCCTGCTTCCTCTGCTCCCTTACGCCCCCTCCCTCTCTCCCCTCTTCCTGTCTCCGGCCCCTCTCCTGCCAGCCCCTGCCTTGTGGGCTCCTGTAACGTGGCTCGTCCTGCCACATAGAAACGTGGACTTGCCCTCGGGTCCTGGGGGCCTCAGAGGCATTGTGGGCTCTGAGCTCCCCCAGGCTTTCTGCTCTCCGGTCTCGGTTATGCCCTGAGTCTCTTCGTTTTGACATTGCTAGGCCTTCTCCGCCGCACACTCCTGAGCCCTGGATGGGTGTGAGCCTCTGTTTCCCTAAGGTGTTGGTGCTGACGTTCCCAGTGCCTGTTGGTGCCCCTGCCCCGCCCTATATGTCAGCCTCAACCCCAGGGGAGAATCACACGTGCCCCCCGCCTGCCCTGGACCCTGGGGCTCGGTGCCCCAGGCCCCTCTGTGCCTAAGCCGGTTCAGCCCCTTGGGCTGGGCTCTGAGAGGCTTGGACGTCAGAGAAGATGGCGCATGGAGGCCTCACAGAATTTTTGGGATGGAGGCCAGGGCCAGGGTTTCCTGTGCATTTTGTCCCAGACGCACCGCTGAGTAATGAAGGCCCAGGTAACGGGGAAGCGGAACCCAAGAGGGCCTGGGGGGTGGGAGGGGAAGCGGCAGGGACTTTCACACGGGCTGGGCCAGGCGGGTGAGGGGGCCCCTCCCTGATGCAGTCTCCAGTGACTCCAGTCATCTCTGGCTGGCAGGTGAGGACGTCCTGGAGAATCGGAGCCAGGGGAAGGGCCTCGCCTGGAGGGGGCTCAGGCTCAGCAGGGACACACCGCCCTTGCCCCCAGGGAACCCCCAGTCTGGTGGGGAGACTCGGTCCCTACCCTCAGGGGTTTCCTGGGAAAGAGCAGGCTGCCTCTTCTCTCTGCCCTTCACAGCATCTTTGTTCCAGAAAGAGGCAGAACTACCGGACAGACAGAGCAGGAGCTGAGGGCGGACCGGCAGGGGCTCCACTCCGGGGGTCTGGGGTCCGGGAGGAGCAGGTCCCCACAAAGCGGTCTCTCAGGGGTGGGAGGGGGGAGTCCGTGCCAGTGTGGGGGGAAGAGCTGGCATCAAGGATGGGGAGACAGGGGAGGTGGCGAAGCATGAAGGCTGGACGGGGACTCAGGCCGCGGACGAGGGTTCTGGGCTAAACCAAACAGAAAATGCACCCAGCAAGCCCAGCCCGGTTCATCTTATTTCTGAAAGCGCCAGGAGCCCCGCAGTGAGCCAGGCCGGAGCCTGAGCGCCGTGGAGACACCTCCCTTTCTCACTGCCCCCCATCTGAGGCATCAGTGAGGCCGCGCCCCCCACCTCTGCGCACCCCCTTTCTCCCACTGTCTCCACCTGGCAGCCAGAGGGACCTCCTAAAAACACGAATGGGGTGCTACCTCTTTTTAAAAGTCCTTTGATGGCTTCTCATTATTTTTAGAATGAAGTGAGGAACACCTGCCATGGCCTCCGGTCAATCCAGGCCCTGACTGACCAGCCGCCCGCACCCCTCAGGGGAGCGTGCCCTCAGTGCCTCTACTCCGTGGTTCCCTCTGCCTGGAGCACCCTCCCCACTGCTTCAGGACCCCCAAGTGCCTCGTCCTCCAAAACGCCTGCTCCCGACCGCTCCGCCCACCTAGTCCAAGTGGGGCCTCCCCTGTCATCCTCTCTCCTCTGCTCCAGTCCCCATTAAATATGCAGTGATGCCTTGGTGCATGTTTTTTATTGTCTGTCTTTCCTCATTAAAGGTCTGTGCCCCCCACAGGCCCGCGAGGGCAGAGATCTTGTCCATTCTATTAATTTCTGTGTCCCCAGCACCTAGCGGGGCGGCCAGCTCTTAGTAGGTGCTCAGGAAATGATAGTTGGATGAGTACGTGAAAGGGCCCCTCACGTCCCCAACCCCGTGCTCAGAGGGGACTCAGTCACCGAAGGACTTTGGACACTGTCTCCCTGACTCTCTGCCCTCTGCCCTCAGCTGTAGCAGTGGCCTCTCCCGGGGGGACGGGGAGGGGGAGGGGGGAGGTGCAGGAGGCCCTGGCCCCAGGGCACCCTGGCCTTGCAGGAGAGGGAGCTCGCCTGGACAGAGGCTCTGGAGCTTGACTGCTGACGCAGGGAGAGGCCCCCACAGGCTGCCAGTGGAGCTGAGCCCTGGGGGACCCTGGGTGCCAGTGGGCGGGGTGCAGCGGAGGCCTGCCCGGAGGAGCACACGCAGGAAGGGGTGGGGGCCGCACCTCAAGGGGCCCCCAGCTTGGACCCCATTCTGGACAAAACCAGGGGCTGTCGCTAGGAGGACTTTTTGGTTTTCCTGCTTTTTAAACAGGGCACGGACACCATAAAACTTCTATTCTGAAGGACCCCCCGCACCCCCATCCACATCGTGCAGGGTGGACCAGAGAAGTACGGCCATCGTCTCTTGAGAGTTGACTCTTGCTAACTGCCGGGTACGTCATGAGTTATTTCATTTAACTATGATACGTAACAGCCTTTTGAGGTAGATGTTATGCATAATTTCTGTTTTATAGATTAGAAGCCTGAGACTCATGAAAACTCCGTTTGCTTTACAGGGCAGCCACCCTTTCCGCTCGGGTGAGCTTCTGCTGGGGTCAGCAGTCACAGCGCCCGCCTCTCCCTGGGCCGCGAGCGTGGCATGAGGTCCAGGCCTGGCTAGTCGCTCGGCCCCTTGCCCCTCCCGGAGCAGCCAGTCCCAGGGTGGGTCACGTGATCCGAGCAGACGCGGACCGAGTTCCTGAGGGATGCTGCCCACATGGAGCCTGGGAGAGAAGCTCTTCCTCTGTGAGCTTGTGCTGTCCCGTGCTGATTTCCCGTGACTTAGAGAAAACGTCTGTGTGACAGGATTGAGTACGGCCCATGCACCAAAGAAGCCGACGCACAGGACGGATGCGGAGGGAGCGGTAGACCCTGCCTGAGGCTCTGGGTTCAGCCGCACCTGAAGCCAGACCCGGCAGAAACTTCTTGGCACATAAGCCATTAAGCCACATGGTTCTGTGTTTAAAAACACAACAAACTAAGGCTCAGAGAAACTAAGCAACTTGTCTGCGGTCACGCGAACAGCGAGTGGCAGAACCAGAACTGGGAACTCTCATTCCAACATGTGCTCATTTTGCTCTCAGGCCACTGTGAAGTTAAGGGCAGGCGGGACGGGAAAGCCAGTTAGACGCGGCCGCCCAGTAACCGAGTAACCGGTGAGCGATGACAGGTCTGGCCTAGGCCAGTGGCCTGGGGCGGGAGGGCAGGTGTTAGAGATCAGAGTGGAATCTGGGAAGATGGGGCACAGAGCCGAGTGTGGGACCCACGGGGCGGGCAGAAGGGTGTGTGGGAGGCAAGACAGACTCTGGCTTGTGTCAGAGAGACCTGGGCAGGAGCAAGGCCAGCCTGGGGGTGTCGATGAGCTCATCTGGGACATGTGGGAGGCCAAGGCCCGCCCTGGGGTCGCCCGCAGACTGGGGCCAGAGGAGAGAAGAACCGACTGCAGGAGGAGGAAGCGAATCGGCTCCTCAGCGTCCGGCACCTCTGAGAGGTCAGGAGGAAGCCAGAGGGCACCAAGGCACCAGCAGGGTGGAGGTCATGGGCATGGACCAGCAGCAAACGAAGGGCTGGAGGGGC